TGCAATTAATTGAGTTACTATTAAAACATATAAATAATTGAGTCATGACACAATTATTTTTGAGGATTTTAGAAATTGAGTCAACAACAAAATAATTTACGCTATATATATACTAATCGATCATATCCAGCAGAAATATTATATCTATTCGCTATACTATATATGTTAAATAACTAATAATAAAAATAATATAATATTATAATATTATAAAATAATAATCTAAAAATAGTACTATCTACACTTATAATTATATATATATATATAATTAATTAATAAGTTTGTTTTAAAAAATTTATTTAAAATTTATAAAAATTTTTTATAAAAATATTAACTACTTTTAAAAATACTGTAAATTAAAAATAATTATTATGTTAAATAAATTTTATTAAAAAAAACATTAATTATAAGTAATTAAAAAAATAGCTTAATTATTAGACAGATAGATCTATAGTATAGTGGTAATGCTCTATAGGTTTCTAGGAGAAGGTCTAGGATTCAAACTTACCTGGTTACAAAAATTTATTCCCTTCATGATTGATTAACTGGCTTTTAATTCATACCATATTCAATTAGCTTAAAATCAACTTTTAAATTTAATTAGGCTGCATGAAAATAGAATCTCTAATCTTTTTAATGATTGCAAGCTGAAAACAGATTGAAGCAAAAAAGATTGTACAAAAAAAGACTTCTGATTTAATTTCAGTATAAGCCCACAAACTCTAATTCAAACTGGTGATGACAGATCTTGTTATACAACATAAAAAAGCTAATTTTAAACTGATTTATTCCAATATAAATCTTGAAGATCTATTTCAAGATTAAGGCTCCTAATGATACCACTTCGATACCACTTTGATACTAATTCGATACTTAAATTTATTATAAAAACATATAAGTAGGTCACAATCTATATATTAAATTTACTATAGATTAATACTATTTCGATACCAGTTCAGTATTTTTCAGAGCCCTACTTAAGGTAGTATTCTTCTGAACTTAAATAAACTGAAAGAGCAAAGGCCATCTACCCAGGTGATGACAATTCAAGTAAAAATTGTTAAGATCAAGTAAATCTAGTGAAGATTGTTAAGATTAAATTGGAATTTAAGCAAGAATATCAGTTTTACAGGTGATAAAAATAGTAGTGTAATGCTATACTAGTGGCACATCTCAAGGGTTAGCAATAACAGTGACTGAAATATTGGAGCTAGTCTCTATAATAATATTCTATAATAATTTACTCCCTGCAATAATGGACTAGTAGGTTTAGGTGGGTTTAAACTAGTAGTAGAATTCCACTTCCTGCAGAAGTCCCACCTGACATATGAATACATTCCAAGGTGTTTAAATGAATACATAGTTGGATAATAGTGGTTAGCATAACTAGTCTTATAGTTATATATGCACTAGACAGTATTAATTTGCAAATTAGCTATAGAAACATAAAAGATATCCATGTATCAACCGATTTTCAATTAATTTGAAAAAACACTTGGTGTTTATTTGGATATATAAATGTATCAATAAAGATTATGTACTGTATGCACATTTCACTTTTTTTAAAAAAAAGAATGGCTTAATTAATATTAAAAAAGTATAAAATGTTTTTATAATTTTTAAAAAATATTTCTTTATAAAAATATAAAAACTATAAATTATTTAAATAAAAGATTTTCTTACTAATAAAAAAATTATAAAAAAATTATAAATAATTTTATTAGTTATTATTTAATAAATTTCTTTAGAAAAATATAAAAATAAAATAAATTTATTTTTTTATAGTGAAAAAAAACAGTTATAACAATTCTTATTTTTAAATATTATTTTATTATTATTATTATAATAGAATAAAAAAATTTTTTAAAAATTTTTAATCTTTAAATCTTTAAATAATATATATAATTATATTATATTATATTATTAATTATTTATTGAATTACAAGCTAAAATAAGAGTCCAAAGACTTTTGTAACAGACTATATATCTATTTTTTTAAATATATACACCCATATTTTTATCTTAATCGATTAACTTATTAATAAAACTATGAAGTTTAATTTTTTTCAATTTCTACGCTGTACATATTTTTCAACTCCGAAGAAAATCATTATAAGCCCTAGAACTAACTAGGCTTCTACTACTTGCCCATGAAGTAGTTGCATAAAGATTCCTCATACAGAACCAATAGGCCCTATTACAGTACCTTACATCCCGGACTCAACAAAAAACACAATATGATAGATAAATAACACTCATCTATTTCAGTTTAGTTTTCTCACAGCAGGAGCCTTTTCGCCGTAGAAAAGATTTTAGTTCGGTAAAAAGAAACTATATTGTAGATAAGATTTTGGTTTGGTAAAAAATACTTTAACGGTAGAGAAAATATAAAAAGTAAGTTTCGTTAAAAGAAATAGAACATTGTTATAATAAAAAAATTGTCTCTAGGTGTAATAATCTTTTATAAAAGAAAATGTAAGAGGTAAAGGCATTTAAAAATTTATTTAAATATAGGGGAGAAATTATATAATTTACTGTATATAAAGTAAATTAGGATAATTATAATAGAAAATATATAGATTCAAACAACCAACACAAATATACTAATCAAACAATTATAAACCCCTAGGTTTCATATGAAACGGTTGATGTCAGATTTTTTTAAGCTCTTTAGGAATTAATGACGAGAACAGACTTAAAATTGGTTTTGATTTTTCAGATTTTAGTTACATACTTTATTATTCACACGATACTTCATATTTCCAACGCCCCCGCGTTTAATGTATTTAATATTAACCATGGTAGAAACCTCGAAATTGACATAAACACACAGACACAAAAATACACAACTTACACCAACGGCTTATGGAAAACTATTGTATGATCTCTGTTTTATTAATAAAGTATTGCTTAACCTCTCTAAAGATAAAATGTCACATTACATCTGTATTAAGTGATTTTTTTGTCAACTTGAAATACTTCATAATCGGCGATCGTGAAATACCCTTCACCTTTTATAGGTTCATAACTAGAGCTGGAAGCGCAATAAAATTGTCGTTTTTCGTTACACATTATCCACAGAGCTGCACAAGACCCAAATTTCGGACCAGCTTTGGAGAAGTAATAGATGGCGTTCTGATCTCTTACTCGACTAAGTTTTGTGTTAGTTTCATCACTAGTTCTTAATGAAAAAACAAAACATTCATTTGCACTTAACCACCGCCCTGCATTTGTTCTATTAAACTCCAAGGGTTATATCCTCCAAGGATTTCACCAGTTTTTTCTGCTTTTAGAACAATTAATGTACGTGTGTAACCATTACTCATGTTCCAAAAAGTTTCACAATCAAATCCATCACGGCTTCCTCTTAATATTAATCGAAATTCATATGGAATATTCGATAATGAATATACCGTCGGTCGATAATCAATCCAAGATGAAATTTCTGCTGCATGTTCTTCATTAATAATAGTCGAGAAAGGTTCCTTCTGTCTCTCCGGTAGCTTTGGAACGACCACCGATCTTGCAGGCAAAATATTTGACTCGATTCGTCCTCCAGGAATAAGAAAACGTTTAATGATGTCATCCCAAAGTTGTTCTCCTAAAATCCTCCTATAAGGTTTTAATTTGTAGAAAACATCCTCGCCAGGTATTTTAAAATAGCGGATATGTGGTAAACAATGTTGAAGAGATATTCTTAGGCTTTCAAAATTCTCATCTGACCATTCTTCAATTCTTAAAGGCAAGGAAGTATTTTGAGCAATTCCCCACTGAATAACCTTATCCCAAACCTTTATTTCTTCTATCTGTAAATCATCCCTCTTAATAATAGAAACCAAAGCTAATTCATTAATAGAGGAGAAATATTCTGAATCAAATATAACATTGGGATGTTTTGCTATAATATTAATGCAAAATTTTTCTAGGTCCTTAAAACGATTATTCTTAACGAAGACTGAATGGTAAACAAGAGAAAAGTGGGTGCGTAGCCAGGAGGCATTATCTTCGATGAAATAGACTTCTAGCTTCTTGGATAATTCCTCAAATCCAAACTCTTCTGCGAATATCATTAAATCAAAAATGGTTATACTTTCTACGTTTTCAAAATTAATAACTCCGCTATATGCATATCTACAAGAAGAACAATAACCAATAATTATTTAGTTTATCTGTACATGTTAAAGATATATCTAAAAATAAAATTCAATTACATACTTGAGAATTATTTCAAAAATTTCGGCGGAAATATTTGTCTTTACAGTAATAGTCTTTATACGATCTTTATTTTCATTGGTTTCAGCTAGTTCTTTGCGAAAATAAGATGATCTATAGCATAATATTGCCGAATGTGCAGTAAATGATTTTTCGCCAACTTCAATAATGACATTGTAATCATATTTTTCATTTAACAATTCGGTAAAGTCTCTTGATAGCTTGTCCAGAAATTTTAAAAGCATTTTTTTTTACTATGCAAAGTAATACTGAAGAAACGCCGCATTGTAATGTAGTACAAAAATACTTTTTATCAGATTAGATATTGTAGATAATACCAGTTTCATTTCAATAGTCGGAAAACCTTTTGTACAAAATAAAGAGTATCGACGTTGCATAATATATCGAAAATTCTTAAAATTCTTAGATAAAGTTGTGCCTAAAAACTTTGATCTATAAAAATCATCTATTTTTAATAAATGTATTAATAAGGATATTTAAGATTATAACAATGATGTTTTTAAATTCATTTTTTTTATTTTTTAAAAATTTGAATAATTATTTTTTTATAAATGTAAAAATTGGATAGTAGATTTTTTAAAAAACATAAAATTTTAAAATAATAAATTCCAATTTTCTTATTTATCAAAAATTTTTTTTTGTTAAAAACTATTAAACTATATTTATATTTAAGAACTATTAATCTATTTAAATATATAAATAAACCCCTATACCGTAAATAAAAATATATAAAATAAATTGTATTGTTTTTGTTTAATTCTAATCAGTTTGCATATTAATGTATTTATTAATTTTTGCTTAAAATAAGATAAAATAAATATACAAAATTAAACATTTTTTTAAATATAAAAATCCCCATTAATAAGTTTATAAATTTGTATATAATTCTTAAATCATTAATACCAAAATATTACACTTTTTGCATAATTTAATTATTTACTAATTATTTTACTACAAAAAAATAAATTTATCAAACTATTATTATATTATATGGACTATTTAAAACCTTTCAAATTCTTATAATTTTCTAAATATAATTATAAAAAATATATATAAAGTTTTTTCTTAATAAAATTATATATAAAAATATTATACTATAATTTAATTATTATAATCTTTTATTTTTAGATTTTATAATCAATAATCTTAAAGATAAATAAAAATTTTACAAAAAAAATCTTTCAAATTAATTTTTAGTTTATTAAAATAAATCATTTTTATAAATTATTTGTTATTAATATACCTATAACAATACTTATTACTAATTAAGCAATCCTATATTATATAATTTTAATATTTAAATATTATTTAAAATAATTAATAACAAAAAACTCTCTCCCGCAAATCAATTTCCAATCGAAAATTTCCTTATTTGGCAACAACCTTTCAAGAAACCGTTCACTCCCAAGCACC